AAACCTCGCCCTTTTCCTCCTTTGCCTTTCCATTTTTAATAGAAAAAAAGTAAAGAACAAGGTATGGAGAAAAGAGAAAAAAAAACCACAACAAACAATTAAAATTGTTTTTTAAGACTTGTATAATCATCATAATAATCTTCCTCTTCGTCATCATCATGGGTGGGCGCGGAGTGGGGTTGAGGTTGGGTGGGAGTTTGGAAAAGGGGAGGAGAATTATTAAGGACAGGGTGACGGATCAGACAGACAGAGATCTAAACCTGGCACTATTCTAAGGAGAAAAGCTGTAAGCCAAGTCGTGTACGTTGGTCGACACCATAGATTTACACTACTAGGCACTAGATCCAGTACACCCCTCTCTTGCCTTCTGCGCAATGGCCACTTTCAACAACGGCGTCCGCCATGTTCTTTTTGGCAAGCTGTTTAAAAAGGAGATAATTCTATGGTCGACGCACAGACATCAAAGAGCGAAGAGACAGGTCACAAGGGCTCTCGTGGTCTAGACGTTAAGGAGTTGGCCTCTCCTTCAAAGCTCCCGGGTTCGAATCCGGGTAGCGACGAAAACATTTTCTTCTCTAAAATTGCCTCCTTTCACCTCCTTTCCTGCTCTCTATTGATATTCTGTCGTCTTCTTTCGTCTCCTCTTTCTGCCCCCACCCCCTCACCTCTTTTGCCCCCTTCTCAGGGCTCCTGACTCTTTCTGCTGCCATTCTACTGCTATTCCTTGGCTCCTTTTTACTGCTGTCTTTCAGCCACACCCCTGATCTTCTGGTAGGAAAGATCTACACCTAGCCTTCTTGGACAAGGGCTAGAAAATCTCGGAGGGTCCGTGTGCAAGTTGCGCACGTTAAAGATCCCTTGGTAATTTAAAATCGATAAGAGTAGGCTTCGGTCGCCACCCGGGTAAAATTCAAAATTTTCTACTAACTGAAAAAGTTTTATGTGTCCCGCACGCTCATATGACCATATGCAGTTGCGAGCGCCGTAAAACCCCCTCCTAAAAATATTTTTTTTAAATCCAAGTCTTGTTGGTCGACACAAGGACATCACAGAGCGGAGAGACAGGTCACGGGAATGTAGGGCGATCCATGGGACAAAACCGACAGCGTCTATGACAAACCACTTTGCGTTTCGGGCTTTTCAGGCTAGCTTATTATTGGCTTTCTTTTTGTAGGCTTTTCTTTGACGAAGAAGTTCTTTTAAAGTCTTGAGAAAGAGAGATAGAGGGGGAGGAAGGGGGAGAACGAGACAGACAGAAAGACAGACAGACAGACAGACAGACAGACAGACAGACAGACAGACAGACAGACAGACAGACAGGGTGAGATCTATAGACACAGAGAAACACAGAGAGCGAGAGCCAGAGGGAGGAAGATAGAGGAAGAGAGAGAAAGAAAGAAAGAGAGAGAAAGAGAGAGAGAGAAGAGAGAGAGAGAGGGAGAGAGAGAGAGAGAGAGAGAGAGAGAGAGAAGAGAGAGAGAAGAGAGAGAGAGATTATACCGGCATACAGACAGAAAAAGAGGAAGGACAATGACTTGCAATGCAGATGATAGAGAAAAATTGGACTTGCGTTAGGATTTCTGACGAGTCAGCGTGATTTGAACTACCATTCTTGGGAGGAACAAGCTACTCTTAGAACTTTGAGGGAAAAACAGAAAAAAGCTCACAGCTAACTGACTTCTCTTCCCCCTTCCCTTTCAATTTGTTCCAACAGTTCGAGTTTTCTCTCGATACTGTTGTTATTTTTCTGGGTTTTTATCTTTCTTGTTTGTTTTTGGAGTTTGTGTTTTCTATCATTGTTTGTTCGTGGGAGGGGGGGGGGT